AGGCTCTCCACACCTTTTGCAGGGGTGCATCAAAAACAAGATAGAACGCTACAGTCGAGCAAGCCCGACAGTAAAATAGCCTGTACTCTCCACAAACAAAAAATTTAAAAAAAAATAGGAAAAAAACATAAATTATTTTTAAAAAAAACACAAATTGCGGGGGAGTGGGAGGGGGTGTATCAAAATAAAAAAATAATCTTGACCTGCCTAGGGCTTAGGGGAACCTGGATACCAAGTTTGGTAATTCTAGCTCTTGTACCTTCTGAGATCCTTGCGCTCATACAGACGGACGGGCGGACAGACGGACGGACGGACATGGCTAAATCGACTCGGCTTGTCACCCTGATCAAGAATATATATACTTTCTGGGGTCTGCCACGCCTCCTTCTGTGTGTTACATACATGCGCACACCCTTTGGGTACAGGCTATAAAAATTCAAACTCATTAACGGGACTCATGCGATAACTTGTAATTAAGCACCCTCGCGCAAATGCGGACAGAAACATAATACAAGTATATTGTGTTCAGCAACAAATCATTTTGAGGTTTAATTTTGCGAATCCTAGTTGTACGAAACACAAGTTTGTGTGCAAATTATTTAAATGTCAGACAACTTTTTTTTGCGAAAAAATTAAAAAATAAAATAAAGCTTTTACAGAGAGATACAAAATTTACAGATCTCGCGTGCAGTTTGGTTCCCGTTACGCAGGATATGCCGTTATGCTCGGATATGCTTTCTTTAGTCTGTTACATATAGGTCATTAAACCTAATACATAATACCATTTTACAAGTATTTACATATGTAACATCACCATTAACATTTCTGTCTAAAGTACATTTCTAGAATTGATCTGTCGGGGATACGGAACAGGAGGAAACAGATTTCATTCTATCGACACAAAATTGATCAGTAGATCAAATTAGTAGTCGATATACAGACCACTTAAGGTTCACTTTGAACTCAAACAAGCCCGCAAGCATATTTGCTATGAACTACAACATCGAAATTCCTATTGCTTATACAGTTCTCTGAATACTCTGCTTGACAACACTGTGCATATGTTTGTTATTTGTTTCATATCATCTTTAATAGTAATGTTCTGACTTTCGTGGCCATTAGTGGCCCTTGCTGGGCATTCTTCACATGTGTACATGTATGTAAAAGTATGTACAAGAGTGTGTGTGTATGAGAGTGTGTTTGCTCTTTTTTGATTACGCACACATTACCCATACGCAACGTTGCTTTCGAATTGGCTGCCATTATTTAAATTTTGTGGGTGCTGATAATTCATACAGCACATAAGTACTCGTAAGTAGTCGACGAGTCCAAATCAAACGCGAAGCGAAAACAAACAAAAAACAAAGGCTGGCAAAACATAAAACAAATGCTTAAAATTGACTGCAAATTTGGCGCTACTTGATGAACAATTTTCAGGAAAAGTGCGCGTAATTGGTTAGCACATAAAAAATAGGAAAGCGCCAACATGTGTTTGTAAGTCTCCGGGTTTTGTACGTGTGTGTGTATGTCTGTGTGTGTTTTGATGCTCTATTATATTGTATGTTATTTGATTTATGCCCTGCCATTACTGTTGCTCTTAGATTGAATTTCGGGCCGTGAATATAGGAAAAACAATTTTGGGGTTAAACGACGGCTAGGTGTTAAGAGGAAAAAAATCCCAAAAATGTACTTTTGATATATGATGTAAATTAAACTGCCCATATGTTTTATGCTAAAGTGCTTAACATCGATGTGGTAAAAGGTCAAATAGGGCTCTTGACTAATCAACGTACTTCCACATTTTCTACTTTTTTAAATAAAACTAAAACATTTTAAATAAAACAGTTGACGATATATTTTTTTTTTTAGATTATAAAATAGTACAAATGAATATTTTCACATGCAATTCAATGTTCTAATATTTCGTTTTCAAATCAAACATAACAAAAGCACCGTAAATTTATCTAAAAACATATTCGATTAATATTTTTAAAATGAATAATATTAAAAATAAAGTGTATGTCTTTGTTAATCTTCAAATACATACAATTTTAATTTTAAATAAGCACTTAAAATAATACATTAATACATTAAATAATTTTCTCAACTTTGATTCGTAGTTTGATTTAGTAGTTGATTTAAATTTACAGTAAATAAATTACATTTTAATATTTTAGTAGTTCTTGTTTTTGTTGTTGCTTCTAAAAGTGCATAAGTCAGGGGCGGAAGGTTTTTTGGGTACAGGGTATTTCCCTGCCGGGCTGCTCGTCTCTTTTGTTTCATTTCAATTGGTTTAGCGTATAGCTGGTACACGAGGGCTAGAAAATATAAACGCCACATGTATGTATATATATATATAACAGAATGGACAAAAAAATAAATAAATTCTGTATGTCGGGTATGCCTAGACCATTTATTAACACCATTAAAAGGAAATTTCCGTGGGCAAAACAACTCTCCATATTTAAACAAGAAAGGAATCCTAGATTCAAGCGGGCTCAACTTTTATATACCCTGTACCCACTGTACCCAAAAAAAAAAAAAATTGTTCATTGAATTTAAAAAATTAGATTAATTTAATAAATTTCGTGGACATGGCTATATTGACTCGTCTTGTCATGATGATCAAGAATATATATACATCGCCTCCATCTGTGTGTTACATACATTCGTAGTAAACTATTATACCCTTTTACTCTTTGCGTACAGGCTATAAAAAGCCTCAAGACCTGAAATCAAAACTATCAATAACCTTACAGCGCGAAGGAAAAACAGTTGAAGAAGCTAAAATCGGGTGCCTCGACCTTGAAATACTCTGTGACTGAGTGTAAAATAACTATATATAGTAAATTTCAATGTCTGTACGAAATTAAGAAAAAAACACCAATCAATGAAATTGTAATAACACAAAACATTCTTGATCAATTATTTCTCCATCGGGATTCGAACTCACGTAAAGGGTTATGACTGCACATTTTCATCGGCATAGTATGTGTCCAACACAAAGTGGAGTCAAAGCGGAGCCAAAGCAACAACAAAACAGTTGCTGGCAGAGCTTATGCCGAGATTAAATTTATGGCCATAAATAAGCACATACTTGTAAGCACTATGCGGAAGAAATTGCCAAATTTGTTTTTAAAAAATGTCAAGAATCGCGGGAGTTATGGATATAACTTATAGCGGGGGATTGGGGAAAATTTTAAAATGAATTTTTACGCATCTGTGTGCAACATTTTGTGTCTCTAGCTCTAATGATCCTTTTAGGCTTCAAGACTGACCAAAAATATATATACATATAAGAACTGCTTGTTCTTATTAGTTGTCAAAGTCATTTTTTAAGCCGAGAGACAAAAACCTTGTAAAAATACCAATTTTAAGGTAAATTAAAACAATTAAAACAAAACCGACAGATCGAAAACGTTTCCCACAAAAAACGAATCCGGATTTTACTTAAGGATCCAGGAAAACATTTAACTTATGTAGTCCATGATTGCCGTCATACTCGTATATTAGTGTCGATGAAACCTATTTGAAAAACCCATTCCTAAAAACACACATCATACTATAGTTCAAATGCATCCATTCGTATTGAGTATACTAAATTGATATATTTCTTGCGTCGTTTCTAAATATTTGACCTGATGGACACACATATGTTTAAATCAGAACGCTGCTCCAAATACCCACAAATGAGCATCCGTAAAATATCGCACGATGCCACAATTCTAGAGGGCCCGAAGGCAATGTATTTGGTTCCACGAGTGAGAACTAGACTCCTAACTAGTGAAAGAGTACAAATAGGGCTCAGACTGGTTAACTTTGAATGAGCAACTATGCTAACCATTGGTATGGAATAACTCAAGTCATCTTAGCCCCCTTCGGGCCACTGCAATGGCCGACTTACTTGGCGTACGAATATTGAAGCGACAAAAACACATCTTAAACTAACAACCATCGCATATATAGTACATAAGTAGCTCTTTCTCTCTTAAGTTTCGAATACAAAATGCTCGGGCTTAAATCAATATGGACAGTAAAATAGCATCCTGCGGGGAACGAGCACAAAGGAGATTTAAACAGTAGATAATCCGTCAAAAAATGTGGAACCCATTCTTACAGTGTTTTAACGTAATTATCATATGTACAAGCAAAATCATAAGCCAAACAATTTGCAAATGTATGGTGCGGAAATTGGAGTAGAGACAACATACACACATATACAAGTATGTATGTATGTATGTATACTTGTATATACAGACAGTGGCACTTTATAAATACGAGGCATATATGTACGACACTGCCATATGTCAAGGGTTCGGACGAACATGCGTTTGGTAATTACCGTTGTTCAGCCAGCGTTTGCTGAGGTCCATGCATCCATGTACATAGTATTTGCAAACACATGCATACATACATACGCGTATGTATGTACATTTGCAATAAATCAATTTTTTTTAAGGGTCAAAGTTGTGTGTTGAAGCAGCAATATTATTAAATATTAGCGTTGATGTTGACGACGTCATTGCCGAAATTTAAATGTTTATATATAAACTTGTGTTCATATATTATACTACACTCATAAGTAGTACATATGTATGTTTGTATGTATGTTTGTATGTATGGGAATGGCGGCTGTTGGCAATAAAGCAGCGAGTCGAAGAAGATCGAGATGAATATGAAGCAATTAGTAGAGGTGGTTTGGGTGTGTGTATGTGCGTGAGTGGGTGTTTGTGGCCGTCTCTGCTACTGTCGGCACTTTAATGTACAAAATAGTTTTATGTCTTAATTTTTAGTTCATTTTTAGTATTTTTGCTGCAATAAATGTTTGCATATTGTTTTCGGACATTTGGGTGCATAAGCAAACAAATCAGCTTGTTGTAAATATAATTTAGCTTACATTTACTCGTACATATGTATCTCAACATTTTCAGCAATTTTCATAGCGTTTTTGGGCGCGTGCGCGCCACGTTTTATGCGCGTTTTTAAACGCTATTACTTACCAAGCCACCAACGCCACAGTAAATCGAAAGTGAAATAAGCAGGCCAATATGATTGAGTGCCGATTTCCACTTTAGAGACTGCCAACAACCTCGCTGACAGAAGCCTCCACTCTCAATCGTCTCCTCCACGCGTCGATCCAAGTGCTTGAGCTTCTCCAGCAGCTCCGTGCTGGCCTCATCTTGTGAATCATAATCTGTCTTAACGGGGGCAGGCATTCTACCTTTATTTGTAACCGTATAATTATGTGTGCTGTCACTTTATACAAAAAATTCACGTTTTACAATTCCAATGTGTGAAAACTTTTTGAGCGACCAAATCTTAACGTTTTTGGCCGCGCGCCAGGAGTCCTATTTCGCTGACTCCCATCCTGCACCAAATTATCAATTTCCATAAATACACACTCAGAATTGACAAAACAAATTTGAAAAAAACAAAAAAAAAATGAACGAATAATTGATAACAAATCAAATAACACTCGCGCACGAGCTGAATGGAGGACGACGGTCAATTTCAAATATTGCTTCGCAGTCCCGAAAACCAAAAGACGTCCCGTTTGACTTCCGCACGCAACGATGTCAACGCCACGACTGAAGCAGAAGCCGCAAAATTTTCGCGTGAAAATCTTCTTGTGCCGACGACGACACGTCGTCAACGACGGCCACGGCGACGGCAGCTAAGGCAGCAGTGTTGCCAAATTAGCGTTTTTCCCGCCAACCCTCAAGTTTTTTGAATGGCGGGTGCACGAAATAAAGTACAGAAATCCGTACAATAAATAATTCCACGTTTAGCGCCAACTTCTTAATTGCAAGTTGCGCAATACGAATACAAAACTTCGCTGACTTTTTAAAAACATTGACAAAAATTGTTTTTCTAAGATGGACATTACTATAATCTATAAAAAACCTACTACATTCAACATTAATCATAAATCAAGTACATATTTCTGCACCAATTACTCTTATAGTCATACGGCATAGCGCACCGATTTTGATTACGTTAGGAAATAATAAGAAACTAAAAAGTACCAAAATTAGTTGTGATTTCGTAATAAAGAAAATAATTCTTTTCTACCGATCGGTCCAATAGCAGCTATACCTATGCAATGGTGCACTTGTTTGTCTACTAACGAAGTTTTGTGTTCCTAGACGGATATCGATCAGTCTCGGATTGGCGTTTATATATATAAGTACAATACGATCAGGTATGTCACCCATCCTTCCGTCTATTAAATTCTTAAAGAGTTTTAAGCTATTTAGTATATTTACCTTATAGGCCTTCGGGTACAGGGCATAATAAAAACAAGTGGAGAAGCTAATTTCGGGTGTCCCGACATTGAATTACTTTGTACACATGTGTCAAATAATTATAGAAATTAAATTATTTTAATAAAATTTTGAAAAAAGAAAATATATTTTGATCGATTTTACCTCCCTTGGTATTCGAACTCACGTAAAAGGTGTTTAACTGCACATTTACATAAGAATTGTGTCTATGTGAGTATATGCGTGCCTGTCAGAGATCATGTATGCAGTACAGAGCTCAGCCAAAGCAGTAACAACAACACAAACTGCTGGCAGAGCTTGGGCAGAGGTTATATATATGGCTATAACATCCTTTCAAATTGACCTATCATCATGAAACTTGGTATATGGACAGATAATCATTAACTAGAGGTTATTGTCCAATATGAGCTACTTGCTTACAATGTATTACCAGCGAGTATAATGCTAAAGTCCGCCGAGCCCGACGCTCGTATATGGCTACGATATCGTAATAAATAAAAGGAGATTTTTTTAACGCGATATAGGGTTTGTAATAGACTTGGCCTTCATACATGTGGCCGTACATACATATCAAACTAGATCTCCGTAGCTATTAAGGTTCAAAAATTCTGTATATTCAAAAGCTCTTAATTTTGTTTTGCATTTTTTAGCTATTTAATTGACTGATCTAGCTTTTTGCGATGTTTCAGAATTGGCAACACTGTGTTCCAATTCTATTTACATATTTTGTTAACGGTGAATCGCACCGTTCATCTCGTCACAAAAAACGGAATTAGTTCCTTAAAATAATGTACTACCATTTTTCACCTATGTATGTAGGTTCTTAATCAATAAAAAAACAGAGATGCTGAGACAGATTTATGTAGAATGCGCAGCTACTGCTGACATAATTGCTTTGATTCTCCAACATACATGTACAAGATAATGGAGAGGGAAATGTTATGACGATTCTAACCATTTCTAATTTGGATTGCTATTCCTTGTAAGCAATTTTTCAGTTCATTAAGAAAGGTCACCTGAGGAGTTTGTCCATAAAACTTGCCCCAATACAGTATGGACATTCATTAATCCATAATCCATGTCCATAAACAATGTAATCTTCCTCAACCTTGTTACTGAAAGAAGCATATTCCATTTTCTGTTGAATTCGCCGATTTCTTGTTTTTTTACTATCTACAGAAGAAGCTCTACTTTGTGAACTCTGTTGTCGCTGCCACGCGATTTGCGACACGCGAACTCGGACCAATATTAGGACGTTGTAGCATGTTCTATTCGAAATATATATATTGTTTGCATGTAGGCATGAAATCCTCGTAGATCAATGTTTAACAAGAGAGAACGCTACAGTCAAGCAATCCCAACAGTGGAATACCCTGTACCCAGAAAAACTTTCGACACTGAGGCATATGCGCCTCTAGCAGAAGCAACAGGCAGAAGAAGAGCGAACTTGATGCTGCAGCTTGTGGGCGTAGTACCGGAGTGAAATTGTTTTGCTAATAACTTTTCTTAGAATTGACCGATTTAGATTAAATTTGAAACAAAAGTAGATAATTATATATAAATTATGTGTGCAGTTTGGTTAATGTAGCTTTTGAAATGTGGATGGTTTTGACGAAATTCTGTAGAAAATAAACTCGCATTTTCTCGGACCTAGGAGAATCTGGATACCAACTTTGGTTGTTCCAGCTTTTATAGTGTCTGAGATCCTTGCGTCCATCCAGACGGACGGACGGACATGTCTAGATCGATTTCTCTCGTCATGCTGATTCAGAATATATATACTTTATGGGGTCGGAGTTGCTTCCTTCTGCATGTTACATACTTTGCACAAGCCTAATATACCCTTTTTACCCTACGGGTAAAGGGTATAAAAAAAAGAAAGGAATGCTAAAGCCGAGCGGGCTCAACTCTAAAATACCCTGTACCAATCCACAAAAAACAAAAAGAATGCATTTAAAGAAATTTAATTCATTTATTTAATTAAATATAAAATATTCAACATGTATGCATCACACATAAGTGTTTATGTACAATTTCAACAGCATACATTTACATCAGAATCATGTCTATGCGTGTTTGTGTTATTGTACATACTACATATGTATGTATATACATATGTATGTGTGCGATACATAATTATATCAAAGCAGCAACAACAACAACAACTTGGGCAGATATAAAATTAATGGCTATAACTTTCATCGTAATTTGAGTTCGAAATTCTAAGAACTACGGGAGTTATGGAAAATCACTAATTACGGGGGAGTGGGGGTGCATAAAAAAAAACTCAAACTCGTACTTTCTCGGGCTTGGGAGAATCTGAATACCAAGTTTGGTTATTCTAGCCCTTATACTTTCTGAGATACTTGCGTTTGTACAGTCAGATAGACGGACGGACAGACAGATGGACATAGCTATATCGACTCGTCTTATCAGCCTGACCTGTGTGTTACATACATTTGCACAAAACTAGTACTATATAGCCTTTCATCCTTTGAATACAGGCTGTAAAAACAAGAAAGAAATGTTAAGTCGAGTGGGCTCAACTCTTAAATACCCACACAAAAATATCTAAAAAATCATTGTAACGAAAATTAATTAAATTAAGTCAATTAATTTAATTTAATGAAAAATATTCAATCCCTACATATAGTGTGTACATAAGTGGAGATATAAAGATTTTTATGTATAGTTTCCACAGGATAATTTACATCAAAATGGAGCCTATGCGCATTTATGTGCGTGAATGTGTGCAGTACAGAATTAAGTCAAAGCAGCAACAACAACCACAGAGGGCACAGCTTGGGCAGAGATTACATTTATGGCTAGAAGTTTCTTCATAATTGACCTATCATGATGAAATTTAACATACGGACACATAATCACAACTTAGATGTAATTATCAAATTGAACTCGAAATTCCCATTACGGGAGGTATGGAAAATCAGTAATAGTGGGGTAGTGGTATGTGTATGAATATATACATAAGCTTTATGGGGTCTGACAAGTCTCCTTCTGTGTGTTACATACATTCGCACTAAACTAATATACGCTTTGGGTGCAAAGTATAATAATTAATTATGTTTGCATCTTTATTACAGCGTATGTAAACAAATCGAATCGAACAAAAGAGAACGCTACAGTAGAGCAAGCCCGATAGTGAAATACCCTGTACTAGAGATGGCCATGGGCCTGCTATTTTGGAAACACGCACGCGCACGCACGACGAAAATATTTCTAAACACGGCCCAACACGAACATGTCATTAAATGTAAAATTAAATTTGTATTAAAGAATATGTACTCATCTATATTTGAGCTAAGAAACCGAGCTCGTCGCTCATTTAAAATTTCTCCAGAAACGAAAAGAAAGCTCGCTCCCCGGTTGAAAAGCAATCAGGGATATTGACTATGTATGTATATGTATTGATATATGCCTTAGCAATTCCCATTTTTTTTTAGCTTTTTTCCAGTTCCTGAACACACAAATTCCTGGATCAACAGCAGTACATATATAGTAATATATTTCAAAATCTATTTTTGACGCAACCAGAAAATTTTTTTTTGCATTATTAGTGTCCAATAATTAACAAAAGTCGTGTTGACTATTTTTATACCCTGTACCCGTATGGTAAAAAGGGTATATTAGCTAAATGCAAAGTATGTAACATGCAGAAGGAAGCATCTCCGACCCCACAAAATACATATGTTCTGAATCAGCATGACGAGAGAAATCGATCTTCACAAAAAAAATAATACAAAAAAATAATACAAACTTGCTTGGTGTCTATACGTCTTATAATCTCTGAGATCCAGGTGTTCATACGGACGGATGGACATACTAACAGACAGACAGGGCTAGATCGACTCGCCTCGTCATGCTGATCAAGAATATATATACTTTGTGGGGGCTGCCACGCCTCCTTCTGCCTGTTACATTTTTCAGCTCCCGCAAATCTAATATACTTCTGTACATTTCATGTGCAGAGTATAATTATACATTTAATTGGAGGTGCAGGATTCGAAGAGATGAATATCATTGATCTGAAAGAGTTGTTTGAGGAGAAAGTCATGACCACCGAATTATAAAGAAAGCTTAGTAAAAATGGTTTTTGAGTTAACAGAAATATTTAGTTTTTTTAGTTTCTTATAATAAAATCAACTTAACAACAACAAATGAAAAATTTTTATACTAATAGTAAAAAGTGTGAAAAACAAAAATAAATTAAAATTCGAATATTATTAGTAAAATTCAATACGGTTTTTTTCAGAATATGCAGGCCTAACTAATTACAGCCTGTAGCCAAAGGGTGCTTCCGTCGAAGCAAAATAGTTTTGGATTTCTTTATCTGCCATACTTTCTTTTTAATAACTGCTCCAATTCCATCGCGCTCCCTTTGCTTGTGAGCTTGCAAGCAAATTATGTTCTACTCAGGAACATCCGAATTCTTTTAGATAATCAACTAGGCATGATAATAACGCTACAGTCGAGCAACAGTAAAATACCCTGTACTCCACAAAAAAGAAAATTTAAAAAAATTTTTTTTTAAAATTAATTAATTACATTTTTTTAAATAATGGTCAATCCATACATACAAAAGTGAAGACATTCTTATGTACAGTTTAAACAGCATATACAGGCAGAGCTTCGGCAGAGAATATATTAATGGCTATAACTTTCTTCATAATTAACTAATCGTAATGAAACTTGGTATACGCATTCATAATCACTAATCACTATTTGCCAAATCTGAGTACAAAATGGCAAAAATTAAGGAGTTATGGAGTTATGGAAAAAACAAGAATCAGGAAAAACACACAAGCTCGTTCCCTCTCGGACTTAGGAAAATCTGGATACCAAGTTTGGTTAATCTAGCTCTTATACTGTCTGAGATCCTTGCGTTCATACAGACAGACAGACAGACAGACAGACAGATGGACATGACATGTCATCCTGATCAAGAATATATATACTTCGTAGGGTTTGCCACGCATCCTTATGTGTGTTACATACATTCGCACAAAACTAGTGTACCCTTTTACCCTTTGGATTCAGGGTATAAAAACACACATAGCTGATAAACAGCTTGAAATCATTCTGATATGGGTCGGTATTATGTATATATTTGATCTAATAAAATACACATAAATCCTTGTTTTATCAATCACCATTCATCTATTGATGATATTGATCAATGTATTTTTATACTCTGTACATGAAATGTACAGAAGTACAAGTATATTAGGTTTGCGGGAGCTGAAAAATGTAACAGGCAGAAGGAGGCAAAAGATGCCTTATGTGTGTATTCTATACGAGTTTGTTTTATTTTTTTGATTTTCCCCCCACTTCCCCCCTATGGGGGTTTTCCCGATTTTCCATTCGTATAATCGCCTATATCTCGGAGACTATAAGACCTACGGACACCAAATGCCTTATGAGAATACGCAGAAAATGTGTATTTTGGAATTTCCCTACCTCCCCCCTCTCCCCCGCAAATCGCGATTTTCTCTAACTCTTGGAATTTCGAACTTTTGTAAATACCCCCAGTTAGTAATTATGTGTCCGTACGCCAAGCTTCATCATGATAGACCGATTTAAGAAGAAGTTATAGCCATAAATATATTTGCTGCTGCAGCGCCCAAGCGCTGCCCGCGGCTGTTGTTGATGTTGCTGTTTGGTTGACCGCTAACATGTTTACACAGACACGAATAGACGCGCATAAACATACATACATACACTCAAATAGACGCAATTGCTTTGTATATGTGCAATTAGGGGGGTATAATGCACATATACAAAGCAATTGCGTCTATTTGAGTGTATGTATGTATTTACGTGAGTTCGAATACCAAAAGAGGTAAAATCGATCTAATTTTTTTTTTTTATTCTCTTACTTTTTTAATTTCTATAATTATTCTAGATATATGTACAGAGTATTTCAAAGTCGGGACACCCGAATTTAGCTTTTTTACTTGTATTTTTTACATTTTTATAAAAATAGCGAAAAATTGTATGTCCCCTAAACTGTTAAAGCAGGTAGCGAGAGCTCTTAATTTAAACAGCTCTGAGCTCTGAGTTGCCAAGCGACGGTAACTGTAATTACTTAATTGCTTTTGCTTTGCTTGTTGACGCTAGAGATGGGCATGTGCATTAATTGGAATAACTAAGTAGCAGAAAGTTAAAATTGTACATTTACATACATACATATGTAAATATGTGTTTATATGGTAGTCCGATATAAACGACCGATAAGACAAATTTTTGAGTATGACACAAAAAGTAACAATCTTAAAAATAAGTATATAATAGAGCTAAATGGAATATTAATTTACAATTAAGTAATTTATTTGACTCATTGTTTACATTAATTAACATTGTTATTATGTAGATGGTGATATTATGATTATGATTTTCCACCAAAATCACTTGCCTTTTTTACACTGTACCCAAAGGGTAAAAGTTTTGTGCGAATGTATGTAACACACAGAATACGGACCCTACAAAGTATATCTATTATTGATCAGGATGGCAAGATGAGTCGATATAACAATGTCCGTATAAACTCTCAGAAGTACAAGAGCTAGAATTACCAAACTGGGTATCCAGATTCATCAAAGTCCGAGAAAGAACTAGTTTGAGTTTTTCTTTCGATGCACCCCCCACTCCCCCGCTATTCATGATTTTCCATTACTCCCGTTATTCTTGGAATTTTGAACTCAAATGGGCAATTACATCTCATGTATTCCGAATTTCAATGAAAAATTCCCAGAGTCCCGGGAGTTATGGAAAATCAGTGATTGCGGTTGAGATGGGGGAGGGAGGGAAATTCCAAAATACACATTTTCTGCGTATTCACATAAGGCACCTGAGACTAAAATTTGATGTCCCTAGGTCTCATAGGCGATTACACGAACGAAAAATCGGGAAGTAGGGGGAAAATCAGAAGGCATCTTTGTGCAGAATTTGGTGTCTCTAGCTATTATAGTCTCTGAGATCCAGGTGTTCATACGGACAGACAAGGCTAGATCGACTCGTCTTGTCATGCTGATCAAGAATATATGTACTTTGTAGGGTCTGCCACGCCTCCTTCATGCGCTATGCACGGCAATTTCAAGTTACTATTTATGCAAACATCTGGAATAGTTTATGTTTTCTCATTTTTAAGCTATTTCATAGGTTTCAGTGGAACCTAACATTGACAACAAAAAAACTGTAAATCCGTGCTGCATGTTCTTATTTAATTTTATTTTATTTAAATTTTTTTACAATATAATTACACGTTAATTAATGCTTAATACATTTCATTTTGACATGAAAATTGCGATTTACTTATTAACCAATCGATTTTTGTAAATAATAACGAACAGCAGGTGATGCTTCTGAAATCTCTTACAATCAAATATTTAATGTGTTGTTTTGTCATTTTAATTCATTTTTCAGCTAAAATTAAAAAATGGTTTATGCGTTTAAGAAATATAATAAGCTTTATCGTAAATACTAAATTGGCCAACTTTATCCAAGTTTGTACAGACTTCATGTTGAGTTTTAACCCGCACAGTGGACCATCTGTAACTTTGATTTTGATGGCTTGAAAATTTAAAAGTGTCGGCCTTGCCCCAAATATCATATTTTATTGTGGTTTCACGATAATTTAATGGCGATTTTATTCGATCAACATCGAAAAGGAAATGAAAAATGTGCTCTGCTTTGCTTTTCTTCCATGACGGTCCTTACGTTTAATTATTTTTATTTTGCTCTTACACGATAATTATATTTTTTGCATTGCGAATACAGTTACCTAATTAAAACTGAATTAATCTAATAACAAAAATATGTGAAGACCGTTACAAATAATTTGTAAAAGCTTGAGGGTTATACAAAAAAAAACTTTATCCTTATATTAATACTTATACAATATAAATGTTCGCACCGCTTATTTGCAAATTTCTCGCTTGTTTCATTTTATGTGCAACTTTATGTCCAGTAGAGGGCGCGACTAGAAACGTACCAATGGATTATAAGAATTCATTGTTTATCGAAGCTGATAAGAATGTTGGTCTTCATAGCAAACGGCCACTATGACTTATGTAGTCACATAAGCCCTTCCACTGTACAGCTTACGACGTCTTTCCGCATATATCTTTATGTGTATCTGTGCGCACGATGGGTGGTGATGTATCTGTATCTGTAACTGATAAATATAAATATATATTTAAATGAAACCATTTTGTTATACTCTGTACATGAAATGTACAAGAGTATATTAGGTTTGCGCGAGGTGAAAATGTAACAGGCAGAAAGAGGCGTGGTGTATATATTCTTGATCAGCGTGACAAGGCGAGTCGATCTAGTCCTGTCTGTCTGTCCGTATGAACACCTGGATCTCAGGGACTATAAGAGATAAAGACACCAAATTTCCCACAAAGATGCCTTATGTGTGTACGCTGCGCAAGTTTGTTTCATTTTTTGTATTTCGAATACCAAAAAAGGTAAAATCGATCAACAAATTTTTTTTTAATTCTTACTTTTTTTAATTTTTATAATTATTCTAATATACTCTCTACATAGAGTATTTCAAAGTCGGGACACCCGATTTTAGCTTTTTCACTTGTTTTTTAATTATTGTTGAAACCAATACAAAATTACATATCCTTATCTGATATACTATATGCAGGCTAAATGAATATTAGCTTGCAATTATATTCATAATGGCGTTTTTAAGGACAGTTACACAGTTAATGCATACATATGTATGAAAAACGTAATATTCAAAAGAAAATTCCCACTACACGATTAAAAATTAAATGTTAGCTGCTTTATCTAACAATCTAACTGTCCACAAAAGGTGGAAGGGTATGCTAGTTTAGGGCAAGTAAACATGTAGCACACCGAAGGAGTTGTGGCAGACCCCAAATGTGTATGCGCCATCTTTTATGTCGGTATGTAAATATTGAATAACTTTGTCATTAGTGAACCGATTGACTTGAGTAGACCAGTGTTGAAAACCTCAGTTCAAGAAATTGTACAGAACCAAATTAAATAAAAATATCTCATACTTGAAAATTGGTTGTGTATTTTCAAAGATATTCAATGTTTAGAGATAAAAGATGGCGAATCCTGTATTCTTGATGATCGTCCGACTGTATGAACGAAAGGAGACCCCACAAAGTATATATATTCTTGATCAGGATAACAAGACGAGTCGATATAGCCATGTCCGTCTGTTTGAACGCAAGGATCTCAGAAAATACAAGAGCTAGAATAACAAAACTTAGTATCCACATACTCCTAAGTCCGAGAAAGGACGAGTTTGTGTTTTTATATCCCACTCCCCCGCTATTTGTGATTTTTTATAACTTCCGTAATTCTTGGAATCTCGACTTTTCAAATTTAGTAGTTACATCCAGTTAGTGCCTATGTGTCCGTATGCCAAATTTCATCATGATCGCTCAATGTCGAAGGAAGTTATAGCCATAAATAAGATCGCTGCCCATGCTCTGCCCGCAGCTGTTGTTGTAGTGCTGCCTTGCTTCAACTTTGAGCTGCATACATACATACATACGCATATGTTGTATATTTTATATTTAATTAAATTATTAACAAAATTTTAATTAATTTTTTTGTGGGTAGGGGTAGGGTAGGTTAGGGTGGGTAGGGTTTAGTATTCCTTTCTTGTTTCTTGTTGGTGGGAATGGGTACAGGGTATTTAAGAGTTGGGCCCGCTTGACTCTACCATTCCTTTCTTGTTTATATTAGAGGTCCTATACACGTTATGAGTACGCACAATGTATAAGAACATATGGTAAATAATATGGTGTGTATGTACATACATTATTCATGCTTAACACCAGTTGTGTAATAGAAAATACAAAAAATTGTTTGCTTTACCTTAAAAACGCTGCTCCAATAGATTGTGTGTATTTTGGGCCTTTTTGACAAATCAAGAAAACAAGATGATAAATCAAACAAAAAATTTGTAGGTGGTGGTATTCGTTGTGTTGTTTGTAGTGCCTTCCTAAGAATTCAATGCGGTAATAATATCTTCCAAGTTGGCTGTCGCTGAAGTGGTGCTATTTAGGAAATCGGCGTCTGCACATGTGAAATACACAAAAATGATCATTTTTCAAAGAAAAAAGAGAAAGGTATATCTCCGTTTATACGTAACCCTAATCATAATGATTCCATTCAACACCACATATGTATAAGCTCTCAAGTTATGCATACAAGTGTTGTATATAGATTTTAAGCTTCAAACGTCATTATGTTTAGGCATTTTACAAATGAAGTACAAGGGGTAGATTTTAGAGATAGAACGAAATATGAAACTTACAAACATAAACCTACCATTTTCCAACGGTCCCAGCTCGGTGCCCAAATCACCATCTATACTAGACATTTGGCCAACCGGCGAGTATGGGGGCACAGCACTGCTGTTATATGTTTCTGTTGTTGTTGTGCCCAAGGCGCTAGAGTCACTGAGTGGTTGTTGACCATTCGTTGTGGTGGTCGTTGCTATTGAAGGCGTCCGCAAATCGTTTATTGTGGGCAGACGCTCGGATGTTATATCCAATTTATTTCCATTAAATACACTACTTGTAAGCTCCGAAGCAGATTTAAAGCTTACATCAGATTCCACCGATTCGGTACGTGTGCGCTGTACCCTCTTGGGGGAGCTGGAACGTGAGGTTGGCGTATGCAGATCGCGCACATCCTCAAGGGAGGTGCGAATTTCCAAAGTGTCGGAAGACACCTCTTCCATTGCTGCATTTGCGGCAGCAACTGCTAATTCTAGGTCTAGAGTTTCAGGTTCCATAACTTTTGGTGAAGGTGTAACAATTTTATCGGAGTTATCGGCCTGTTTTTCCTGTAACGGTGTCCCGTCTTTGATGGACACTTTCTCGCCCAGAGTATCACTTTTGCCTTCGTCACTCATATTGTCATGTAGTTTTTGTACATTAAATTGCCCCTCAGACTTTACATTTTCTGATTCCACTTCTGGATTTGATTCCGCAGCTGCGCTTATGGACTTGAGCTCCGCATTTACCTGATCTCCTTTGTCTAGCAAGCTCTCACCTAACGGCGGCGTCTTGTCTTCTTCTACCGTTTCTTTTTCGCCCAGCAATTCAGTTTCTTCTTTTTGATTTAATTTATGTAGTTTCTTCCTCGGCTTTTCAGTATTTTGGTTACTTGGAATAAGGGGCGGCTCGGGCTCTACTTCACTATCGCTTATAGTAGTAGTGGTGGAGCGCTTTGTTGGGGTGGAAGTAGCCACGCGACGTACGTCAGCTGTATGACACTCCGGCACTTCGTTGGGCACTGTAAAATAGATGTGATATTTCTGTAACTATAAATATCTTAATGGTCTTCAAATTCCAAAAATGCACACACACACCATCTTCACATGAATTTGAATTTGTTCGGCCATGAGCTAAAAAATAATAGTCTTGACAAATAAAGAAGATAGAAAGAGGGATAAATATATATATATATATATATATAAATAAAGCTACTGGTAATGCAAAAAGGTCCATTGAATAGTGCATCGTTTTAAGCAATCAATTTTCTAGTTTATTTGTACCGTTTTATTTAAACATGAATGATGAAAAATAAAAATAATTTAAACAATAATTGTAATTCTCCCTATGGGAAATGACCTGCAAAAAAAATGGTACCTTATCCTAAAAGCTAACATAAAACGTTTAAAAGCATCCTTACCAATATATTCCTGGTTTTCATCCTCTTCATCATTGACCAAATCCTCATTGGCTATACGCAAGTTAGCCAACCCGATAACTGGAACACGCTGAGCCGGGCGCTTCAGTTTACCACGTTTTCCTGGGGTGCTAGAACCTTTGCCGGCGCCACCATTGCACACACCCCTGCCCGGTGGTCGGCCCCTCTTGCCCTTGACCGGTGACTCAAGCAAAGTGTCTGCAGTCAACTCAATATCTTCCAAAACATTTCCTGTGGCATCAACACGTTGTAAACGTGTGGGCACTGACATTGATTCCAAGCTTTTGGTTGTCTTGCGTCCACGTGAGCTGCCAAGTATTTCTACCGAGTCGCTAAACGAAACGGACAAATTATTTTTGCGCGATCTTCTGGCATTTGTGCTCTTAGGAAGTTTAGCGCGCTTAACGCGCACCAAGCAGTTAAAAAATCTTGATCCATAGCGACGTTTTAGTTCAGATTCATTAGCATGAAACTGAGCTCTTGGAATTTTTGATGATTTAAGCAAATTTAGTGACTTCGGAGATTTCGACCAGCGTGGTGGTGGAGTAGGCGGACGCATGCGTCCAATCGACGATTTACCCCCATTGAAAAGGCCTGACAGCGGCATTTTGATGTGCACCTTTGTACGGTGCTGCTTCTTAGGTGGCGATTCATCTGAATCATCGCTGGCATGCGACTTGCGGGAGTAGTATTGCCTTTTAGCAAGGTGTGGATTTGTGTGTTTGGCGATTTCCTCCTCGGTCAGGCGTTTAATACGCACAGTGCAAGTTTTAATTTCAAAAACTTTCTGGCTATTCTCACCGGACGGCAGTAAATTATCGACAAACATTTTTTGCTCCGCCTTTGTCTTTGGCGGCGGAAGCTGATGTGATGGATGCGACTCGTCATCACTATCCAAAAAGGAGGCTGTGTTAATGCCTGCACCTGCTGGATCGTTTATGCCTTCTGAATAAATAAATTGATTAGTTTACTAAGTACATTTGTAATATTATCTTTGAGCTTACCAGCTTTGTTATGTATGGGTGAGCAGGACCCATTTGATGGTATTGGTGATGGTGCCACTGGCGATGGCGCCACTGGAGAGGGTGCCACTGGCGAGGGCAACCGATCGTCCTGAGCAGATTGAGGCTCTTCGCGAATGTTTGCCGGCGGCGGCGCCGCTCGTACTATATCAAACAGATCCATACCTATAGTTTGGAGAGAATTTAACAGGCGCTTGTTGCATGCGCGCGTTTCCAAATTGTGCCTAATACTTTCAGGTTCTAGTTGTATAGCGCTGCTATATTATTGTGTTTTTCCCTCCAAATGAAGTTTTACTCAAACTACACTTCTACATACTAGAAATTGCTAGCGAGCCGAGGCAAGCTGCCTAAGCTACTCTTTCCAGTCACAACAGGACCCCTTCGCAAATTGTTAAATCACACCAAAAAGGAATCCAAAACACAGAAAAACACTGAGAGTGGTATGCAAACTACAATTCTAGACGATTTGGCGCGACTATTTCACTTCATTTATATTCTTATTTACGTGCGCTTTGTTGCGCTAACGCACTTTTCCATTGAGAAAAATTGTGCATAAAAATCCGAGCAGACGCCGTTGCGGCATGTGAAATTAATTCTATCGATATTTATCGCTTACCTATCGATGTTTGATAAATAATGGGCAAAGCTGCCAGATTGGCGATTAGGGGATTCTGAGCGCGTTTTCTTCAAAACAAGATTTTGCAATTAATAAACGTATTTCCTTCATGGCTTTATTCTTGCACTTATAAAGCAAATAATATTCAGATTTGTTTCTTGTTATATATTAATTTTTTTTATTTGTGTTATCTTTAATGCAATTCTGACTTTAAATTATAACTAAAAATCCAAAAAACGCTTGCTCATTACATAAATACATACAGTTTTATATAAAATACATAAAAAATGGTACATTGGTTATAAATAAAACGATTACTTTTTATATACTGTCGGGATGGTTGAGTTATTCAGCTTCTGTTATTAGCCGGCATTGTAGGTATAGGTATACATATATGTATATGTATGTATATGTAAGTATAAAAGTAAGACGTGAAAGGTTTACTATGTATATGTGCAAATATGTGCGTAGCAATTAAAAATTGTCATGTTATATAAAAAAATTCCACACGTTTCTTTAGATATACTCTTTGAACGCACTCCAGCCATGAAAACATTTGGTAAATCGTCGCGATTCTTTGTTTTTCATAGTGAGGAAAAGCTTGCGTGGCCTCTCCGGCTGTTTGATACGCATATGCTGTATGTAAACTTGTGCAGATTTGTAAGCCAATTTTACCTCCACCTCGCTACAGCGTGGGCCCATCCAAAGGAACACATGCTCGCCATTATCGAGAATCATTATATCATCGTCAGCCAAATCATCTTGACAAAAATCGGCACATTTTTCAGCCACTGTATAATAACCACGCTCATTTGAACAGCGAAATAATCGTGTATATTTCATATATTCGGCATCAGTATCGTGTGGTTTGCATCCGCCCAACGCCACCCAGAAGAAATTCTCAGGTTCATCGCCCTCATTAAGAATCTAAAGAGAAATTCAAAAGGATTGGCTTTAGTTAAAATACTATGGAAAAAATATTGCACTATGCATTAAAAAGAACTTGCACAACGTACACATATAAGGCACCTGAGTGCAAAATGTTGTGTCTAGCTCTTATAGTATCTAAAATCTAAGTGTTCATATGGACAGACAGACCGGGCTAAATCGACTCGTCAATGTCATGCTGATCTGTGCGTTACATTCATTCGAACAAAACTAATATACCGTTTTCTCTTTGAGTATGGTTTTCTGAGTGGAAGGTGTCAATTACTTGACTAAATTAATCGTATTGACAAAGGAAGAAAGCAAGAAGCGGAACCCCCTAGTAAATATATAAATATACAATTTTCAACTATTCGTAACTTGTCGAAACTGAAAACTGAAAAATTAGGAATCAAAAATTGAGTAGCCATATGAATCATCCCATGCCATCAGAACTAAGATGAGTTCTGGATATTTCTAAATTTTACGAAAACAAAAACTTAAAAATGCTTATTATTTTAAAAACAAAAATGTTTTGTTCTGTGACTCACCTGAAGACTAACCCAAGGACTATTAAACATTTCCTCGGCAATTTCCTGGACCAATTTGGCCTCTTCATTGCATGCCTTGCTGCCCAACCAGACATAAACAATACCTGATTGTGATTCATCCTTGGTTTCAAATGGCACATGAAGTATGTAGCTGTGTAATTATATTCGGAGTTACAGCTAAACATCTGAAGAAGTTTCTTAATATTTCACTCACCAGAATGCTGAATTAAGTAGCGACGCATCTGGCTGTATTTGTATAAGACGGGTGGTTAACGCCCCGCCATTTGAACGCAGGTGGAAAAACTCCACAGCAGCTTTCCCATCTGGTGTTTTAGCTTTGTCCTTACGCTTGCCTGTGTGTATGATGAATTTACGTTTAAAATGTGACATAAACTTGAGGTTCTCTTGCTGCTGAAAGATACGCATAACTTCGAGTTCTTCACCAAACATCGCCTTAAATTTTTTTTGGAGCGTAAACGTAAATGTCAGCCAACCCATGTTGCCAGCATTGCGTCCCTGCCAAAAGTAGACAACACATTGGATTTCATCCTCAGGCAGGGGCTGTTGTGATGATGGCTTATTATCGTCCCGCTGCTCCTCACCCTCCGGTTCTGCCTCATCGGCGGGTATGCAATAACGGCAGAGAAACACGTAACATTCACCAGTATAGAAATGACCCAATTCCTCCTCTGGTAAGCGCACAAACTTTTTATTCTCCAAAACGAATGCCTCCATCATTTCAAGATCATAGTTCCATTCCTCTTCCAATTGTTCGGCCTCGCTGAGGGGCATTGCACTCTGGCGTGGCATGAACAGCGCTGCAAGATCGGTGCGCGTTTCCTGTTGACGTGCCCATCTCGTTAAATTTGCTCCCGTTTTGGCCACCGAATTTGCGGTGCGCGTAAAATCAACAGCCATGACTTCGTCCCAGCCAATGAATTTAGTGCGAAAGATTTGCATCTCGTTACCCTCAGGCACACGCATAACAAGTGCACAGTCAGGTCGCTCCATCATATTGAACAACTCACGAGATAATTTAACTGCTGCTGCTCTCACTAATCGTGTGGACTTTTTGCCAAACCACACAAACAGGTCTGTATAACAGTCTAGTATGTATACATGCTTGCTATTAAGGAGCGTGTGCGTCAGCTTTTGATCAGGCAACTCCACTTGTGGCAGCTCTAGGTAACCCATGCCCAATTGCACTTGATAGAGACGAGGCTGGGCGGGCGTATAATCTGCATCCACGTGCTCCAGAAATATGTATGTAGCACCTACTTCTGGTTTCACCTCAAGACCCTGCCAGAACTCTTCACTTTCCGCGCCTTGATGATCAACAAATATCTCGCATTTATTTTTGCGCTCTGTCTTATTGATTTTCTCAGCCATTAAACGTGCCTTTGAGTTGAGAGTGTTCTTTGAATGCTTGCCCAGCCAAATGTGTATGCGTGTGCCTAGATCTAAAACGAAGGCATGACGTGGATCCAACGATTCTAGCTTGACGGTAACAGGTTCCAGATGAATTGTAGCGCCATATGCATGCACTAAATACAGACGTGTTGTATGTATCATCTCCTCGATTGTATAAAAACCTGTAGCAGTACGACCTCCTTCAATATAAATCACTTCAGTTTCGAAGAGCCCCAGAAACTCTTCCGATTCATCGCCTGGAAAAATGAAAATAACAGATTTACAAAACAAACAAAAATCCGTAATAGTATAAAAATTGAGAAAATTCTGAGCTATGGCCGCGGCTACCATAATGTCCTAATTGGTTTATAGTATCATTCTCCCCGTCTTACTTGCTCACCAAAACAATATAACCTTTCCCCGTTCAGTTTTGAATTTCCATGTTCATAAATATTTACATCAATGTACCCACACTACGAACAGTACGTCAGGCAGTCTTGAAAACAAGCCAATTAACATATTTATTAATCGGACATTAAGACAAAGCTTATTTACGTTGGAAATTATTTGTAATGACTATTTTAAGCTGCAACAAAAACTTACCTTGTTCTTCGCGTATTGTGCGACATCGGGCGCCCAAATAGTTTCTGAGATTGACCGCATGTATGGCCGCACAGGCGCGTTTGTCCAATGTCGCCTCGTTGCCAATCCAAAAGTAAATCTCCCAAGTGAGTGTGCCCAATTCATCATACTTGGTCTTAAGAACAATATAGCAATCGCCCTCGTAGAATTTGCCATGGACCACCTCTTCGATTTTATTTGGCAAGAAATTTTCAATTTCCCATATGGTTAGACCTGGGAGCTGGCCATCTTCCTTTTCAAAAAACTTTGAGTAATCCAACTGTGGTTTTTCTAACGATTCATCCCAACGCTTTGGCTTCAGTGACTCAGGTCGACCATCACTCACATCATTAAGCGAACGATCAGCCTGCTGTTTATCGTTGGCCACGTCTTTCATGCCCTTCAGAACCTTTGCTGCATCCTGATCACCTCCCTCAGCGCGTGGCCCTCGCCGCAGCCGAATTTTTCGTGCCGTCGCATCTTTAGGCGTTGATGCCACTGGCATGGAAGGTGGCACTGCAGCTCCAGCGAGACGCAATTGCGTTTGCAAGGAAAAGTCGATGTTATAAAATTCCAGACTAGTAGTTTTGCTCGCCTCGCTGGGCTTTGGTGGCATCACCAACTCCGGATTGTTGCGCAAGTCTAATTGATCTAATCCTTCGAGCAAGTGTATGGCATCGGGTAATGTGATGAGCCGATTAGAACTCAGATTCAGTTCCTTCAGAGCGCCACAACGGCACAATCCTTCAGGCACCATCTCCAATAAATTATTTGCCGCCGAGAAAACCTCCAATGTGCCCAATTTGCCAATGCCGGAGGGTATACCTTCGAAATTTAACTTATTATCGTTGACAAAGAGACGCCTTAACTTAGGAAGCTTGCATAGGGCCGGGGGCAGAGTAGTAAGTTGGTTTCTCGAAACATTCAACGATTCCAAACGCTGCCAAAATTCAATGCTGGCACTTAGCTCATTAATCTCATTATCGCTCAGATTAAGACGTATCAATGTAGCTACATTATAGACACAGTCGGGAACTTTAGGTAGCGAGTTATGAGACAAATCCAATTCGGACAGATTTGCCAGGCTATCCAGCGTAGTAGGAAAATTAAGTAATGTGCGCTGTGTATTACTCATACTTAGAACCTCTAAATTTTGCAGCGATGGCAGCTGACGCAACTGAAATAGCTCCAATGGATTGTTAGACAAATCAAGAGTTTTCAGATTGACAAGGCGACGTGTTTGTGGTGGCAGTGTCTCCAAGCGATTGTGTGATAGATCAAGGAAAATCAAATCGGTCAAATGTATAAAAAGCGGTGCTGGAATGGTTTCAATTTGATTGTGGCTTAAATTAAGCACAATTAAATTCTTGGCACGTTCCAAGCCTTCCGGCACTTCCTTTAAGTTGTTGTGCGACAAATCCAAGGTGGTCAACTCCTCCAAAAGAAACAGCTCCGGTGGAATGCCACTGTTTTTTAGGTGATTGTGTCGCAAATCCAGGGAGCGCAAACATGCTAGTTCTGTCAGCTCACCAAACAGCTTATCTAGATTATTATGATTGAGTGAAAGATGTTCAAGCTTTTGTAGGTGACCCAGTTCCTCCGGTATCTCTTGCAATTGTGTGCGATCCAAGTTCAGCCATTGCACCCGCGACATTTGCCGCATTGAGTTGGGGAATGTTTTCTGGAACAACAACAAATATGTTAAGTGGTAACTTCTACACAAACATGCTTTGTGCAAACGGCATAAGCGTAGCGTCATGGCTTCGAAGAGCCCACAATCCATGATGACGAATTCCAGCTGTCACACTTTACTAAGTTGCAACTTTATAATGGTATTGTACTTCAACCCAGCACACTGAGCGACAGCTGTACTGAATCCGGCATTAAATTTTAACAATAAACACTTACGCTGAAATCATTTTTTGTAAAGTCAATACCGCGTACAAACGGTAAAACACTCATTGCAAGGAATGTGTCGCGATGCAAATAGAATTACTGCTACCCTTGTTGTTGCTGGTGCTTCATAAAGCAACAAAGGTATCGATAGTAACGATAGCTTTTTTCATGATTGCTTTGTCAGTTTTTTTAACTATCGATAATATCTGCGTCACAGTGCGTTTATCAACGTGTACACTGATCCGCATATTTATTCTGACGCATCCACCCACGACCATCGGCTTTTTGTGCTCTATATAAAAACGGTACAATTTGATTTTTTTTTTGACAAAATCATTGCCTTCGTCAAAAGAACGTTTAACAAGTGATTATTTAAAATGTTACTTTAAACATTTTTCTTGATATTTAATTTTAGGTTCAACTCATAACTGATTCTAAAGTTATTTAAAATCATGAGAAATACGGCAGGCTTAAACTATGCTGTTAGACCGTCAATAGTTGCGAAGTTTAATACCGGCGTCACACTTAAAGACAGAATACACAATCAACAAATTTGTTTCTTATGTTTAATTTCTTTTGTAGCATGAATTCTTGGGATTTTAAAATTTCTTCGCTTTTTTAAATGAAGAGTCTAAATTTGGAGTTCATACGAATTCAACATAACGAGAGCTGGTTGGGCACAGCACATATACACTCTCACACACTTGCACACAAACTATGCGGCCTCCGTTATGGACAAGCTCAGGAAACAGGAGCGGGACAGAAGCGCGATATAAGCGGGTTGATCGTCCGGGCGAAGCAATGCCTAACGGCCGCACCGCCTGGACTTTGACCTGCGTATATTATTACTATTATTATTATTATTATTATTATTATTGTTATTTCTATCTTTACATTGTTATATTTGTACTTTCCTTTCTTTGTCAGATTATATAAAGAATACAAAAAAAAAAAAAAAAAAAATCACTTGCACACACAAACAGGTAAAGATGGACATAGTCGGTGCTTGAAAACGCATATCTACAAAATAACAATATTTATTAACTAGCAGGTCGTGCTCGTCTTTGCTAGCTCAGTATTTGTGCTTACAATTATACGTTTATTTACTATATGATATTTCTCTTCCGACATTCTCTAAAGATTCTAAAGAGTTCATTTCCCAAACAGCAAATAACTTTGGTACGATTGGAGAGCTAGGACATAAAGTACAATTTGGCAAAGTTATTTGGTCAACTTATGCAACTGCACAACATTTAAATGAGCATGCACACATACATATGTACATATGTACTTTTTAATGAAAAGTTACAAGAAATACAACGAATTTGTATTCTTTCTCAGGGTAAATAAACCAAGTTTAAAGTTAATCGGATTTCTAATTTGCTAAGACCACTTCTTGGTGCTCACCCACACATTCACAGCTTCTTAACGCTTACCATTAGGGCTATGACTTGAAAATACTTACATTCGTGAAACAATAAAGCCCCAATGCAAAAAATGGGTTGAAAAAAGCAGTTACATTCATATATATGTATACATATGTACATACATATGTATGTATGTATACATATGTACATACATACAGGGTGCGCCATCTTTTATGTCGGTATTGAATATCCTTGAAAAAAAACAACAGATTTTCAAGTATGAGATATTTTTATTTAATTTGGTTCTGTACAACTTCTTGAACTGATGTTTTCAACACTGGTCTACTCAAGTCAATCGGTTCACTAATGACAAAGTTATTCAATATATACATACCGACATAAAAGAAGGCGTACCCTGTATGTACAAGGACGTTCATTATTATGATGCATTATTTCGCCTTAAAATGGATCTGAGTTGGAATTGTTGAAGTTTTTTCATTGATCATATGCATAAGTTATTTTTTAAATGCATCGTGCATTATTTAATCACAATTTTAAATTTTTCGGCCCCCTCTTTGGTAAAAGCTGCCTACGCCCTTGCATATGTATGTATATACATTGTGACATTAAGGGCTAGTAGTTTCTAGAATTAAACACTGCACTATGGTCCCAAATCCACATTTTTTGGCATAAATTCGAAATATTAAGATATTTGCCCCAAATTTAGTTTGTACGCATATTTTGGCCGTCTAAAACGACATCCCACGTTTGGTTCAGTTTGGACCACTAATTCATATAGCTGCCATATAACCGATATGGCCGACTTTTACTAACTTTGGTATTGTTTGCCGTATCAAAACAGGAATTGGCATATAATTCTCACCAGTGCAATATAATTCAGTTTACAAAATAGTTTATTTTATTTTTTTAATATTCCCCCCTCCCCTCTCTCTCCAATACAGAATATTGTCAATACTGTCCACATTTCGAAAGCTACATAAACAAAACTTTTACGCGGATTCTATTTACAACTATCTAGCTTTGTTTTAAATTTCAGTCCAGTACTATGCCTACAAACTGCAGCATCTAGTTCACTCTTCTTCTTGCTTTTGCTTCCGCATATAACTTAGTGCCGGAAGTTTGTCTGGGTACAGGGTATTTCACTGTCGGCATTGCTCGACTGTAGCGTTTTTAATCAATACTCAAAATGACCATCAACTTCTACAACCATGTTAAAATTTCTATTAAGTTTCATTACAACTCGGCTTGTAGTTTTTAATATGATTGGCGAAGGCTTTTACTTTTTCCGATGTCAACGGAGTATTATGTTCATCAACGACTTTTACTTTAATTTTCTGCAATATATACTGCTTAAATGCGTTTTCTGAGTCTATTTTTGCTCTAAATGTCAATAATTTCTACGTGCCCAAACACGAGTTTTGCTGAAATTAACGCGATTTTTTCGAAAACGGGCAAAGGAGACTTAATAATTATGAATCTGTGTACTTTTGTTAAGACATTGACATTGTTAGCTCCACGCTCTGGCGCGCTCTGCGAAAGTAATACTCCACAAAACACAATTACTTTTGTTATACATTCCTGTTAAATAGACACACACAAAATACTGGATAACACGAACACACATACAATGGCGTCACGATACTGCTTAGAAATTGATTCTACATACCATTATCTTTGCTTTCCGTACTTATACTTTTATTTTTACACAAATAGAACCACTTTCATGATAAGCGAAAGTTGGCAAAAAGTTTCCTCCAATTTGCAAATGCCAGGGAGGTCACCGATCAGCTAAGTTCATGAGCGTGCCAAATTAACAGGGTTGCAATAAAGCTCGAAAAAAAGTATTTCTCTAATTGGGGTGTCTATTTATTAAAATTGTTTATATTATTTCGCTGTGGGACCATAGTGTTTTTGTTTCTATCGCATTTTCACGCTCGTGTCTTTTCGTGCTTTATTGAGTCAACACGAACACGCACGAAATTGGAATATGAAACACGGCACGTGTCCACTGTGTAAGTGTGTTTATGTGATGTCCCCAACTGTTTGATATTTTGCGCTCTTTGTTGCTGCATATGGCAAGTAAAAACATGTCTCTATAATTCGACAAGGAATCCAATTTGTAAATATAGTTATGTTGATTACGCATACCACATTAGAAAACGATCGGAAATTTACATTTATAACACAAACTTTTCATTTAAAAAAAAGTGAAGAAATATTAAAACCCCAATAATTCAAGCTCCAAGACCAATTTCACAAAACCGAGTATGTGTTTCATTTGAATTCTTTTATTGATTTTAGAAACCAAGTTTTAAGTCGATCGGTTGAAAAATGTTTTTTTTTTTTTATTTTTTTTTTATTGGTAATACTTTAATTTTAGTGTTATTATTTACAACAACTTAAATTAAACTTATGGAAATATACAAATACAGCTTAAACTAGGAGTTCAGTCTTATTTAATTATTTATATCATTTAATTATTATTTATTTAATCTTATATTAAATAAATCTATTAGGAAGATCAGCAGGGTGTGATCTCTTCAGCCTCCTTCTTATTACTCTTGTTCCTTTTCGTCGCCGTTTCAGCAGGCGCCTTGCTAATACATTCACATGGGTTCGCAGACGCTCCATGTATTGCTCAGCCTGCTTATTTAGCACGTCTCCAACTATTTGCACCCCTAGATCCCTTTCTATGTGTGCCGTTTTCATGTACCAGGGGGCATCTGTTAGGAGGCGAAGGGTTTTCGCTTGCAGGACCCGGATTTTCTGCAGGTGTGACTTTGCAGCGATTCCATAAACTTGTAAGCCATATCGCCAAAAGGGAGCGATGCAGGACTTATAAACAGTCACTTTGTTTTTTAGTGACAGTTTTTTGTGGGTCTGGAGCCATCTCATATTGTTTATTCTAACACTTAGTGTCTTTACAACAGAGCATATGTGCTCTCGAAATGTGAGGCGCCTGTCCAAAAGTACGCCCAAATATCTGTAGCTCTTGGTGTGATTCAAGAGCTGGTTCTGTAAGGAAACGCCAGGACAGCTCATCCTGCGCAGTGCGTAGGTGACATTGGCGCACTTGCTTGCGTTGATGCCAATATTCCAGCGATTTGCCCACATTTCGAAGCTCTCTAGGTACTGCTGCAAAATATCTGTGGCTTCAAAGATATTCTTGTTTCTAGCCAGGATAGCCGTGTCATCTGCGTAGGTAGCTATTAGATGGTCCTTCGGGTCTTCAATAGGAATCATAGTGCCAGTGGGCATATCATGTGTAAATAAGGTATAGAAGGTGGGCCCCAAGACACTGCCTTGCGGAACTCCAGCTCTAATACCCCTGACACTGGATTCCTCTCCATCCAGCACCACCGTGAAGGTCCTATCTGAGAGGTAGCTCCGTAGTATCCAGAACAGTTGAGGAGGCAGCATTGGCTTAATTTTGGCTAGTAGGCCATTGTGCCAGACTCTGTCGAAGGCCTGCCTTATGTCCAAGTACGCCGCCACCACGTACTCCTTAGCCTCAAATCCCTCAAGGATGAAATTTGCTACCCTATTCAATTGTTCTGGTGGGATTTTCGGAACCCAAATTGAAAGGGAGGGATTTTATTTGTCACTTCTTTTAAGGACAAAAGTCGTTTCAGCAGGCACCGCTCAAAAAGTTTGGCTATTGTGGGCAGTAAGCTGATTGGTCTGTATGAGTCCATGGAAGAAGGGCTTTTGCCAGACTTATGGA